GCCTCATACATTTGCCTTTTCCTTATTTCCCACACTGCAATGTTTTTTATTACTTAAAATTTAAAAATAATAAAAGCTCAGACTGAGCCCAGCCTTTGAACTACTTAATAATAATAATGAAACAATATTAACAACTACCCTAAATCATTAAATATCTGCAAAACATAAATTGAGTCAGCCATCAATATGAAATAATGAAATTGCAGAGGGTTTTTTAATCAATGAGTCGACTAGACATAAGTGGAAAAGACAAGCCTAGACACACACACACATCCATTTGCATTCATTCCTCTGTACCAGCTACCATGGTAGTGAGAGGGCTGTCTGGTAACTGCACATTCATCTGTTCTCCATTTTTCATTATTTTCTGACCATTGTAAATGTTTCTGAGACTCAGCTACTGCAGAACTGAAAAAAAATCTACAAACTCTTCTCATGACTGATTCCCCCTCTATTTTTGCAAATTTCTAAGCTTTTTCACATTGATAAAGTAACCCAAACTAATGGGATAGTGTTGTCGCCTGAGATGATCTGATTTCACGACTTTAGTTGACGTTATTGCTACACAGGCCAGACCCAGCTTCCCAGATAAGGAGACACTTGCAGGAGCATGGGTAGCACAAGGAGCTGGTGCAGGATCTAAAGCCTCTGCAAGTGTGCTCTGTCCAGGACCTTTGTACAACCTGGTGAGTACATGTGAACAGGAAGTAATTAGAACTATTTCTGGTATTAAAAATACAACTTTTGATTTATCTTTCAGGAATGTGTAGAATGCAAGCAACCACATGTGGCAGTTCTGTTCCTGGTGTACTAACAAGGGACTCAGTGCTAACATGAAACTGATGAACAAACCCAACTAACTCCCTTTTTTTTTCTTCTCTGGGTCCTTCAAACCACACTAGAGACTTTGTTATCCCTGCCAGATGGGATTTCCTTCATCTCTGCTGCTTGATATCATTCCCATCATCCTGGGAACCATTACCAAAACTCATAATAATAGACTTTGAGTCTCTGAAATTTAATGAATACTCAAATCACCAGAACTGAGGTGAACACTCATGGCTGAAAGCATAGTGACTTTTTTTAAATAAATAAGGTAACACAGCAGCACTGTGAGTGCATGAGGAACCCTTACTCTTTTGTCCTTCGAACTCCTCATCTGTCCCAGCACAGCAGGGCACAGGTCACACCTGTCTCAGCAAATGGTGCAACCTCAGTCTTGTCACTCACACCCAAAACCAGCACCTTCACCCCTGCGTGACAAGTGAGCCTCCACCTTCCCTTATGTCTCCTGGAGTGGTGCCTTGAGAGAAGCCATTGTAGCCATTGTGTTTCTTTTGCTAGAGCAAAGACAGAAAGCTGAAATCATTTTGCTTGTTTGCTTATTTCAGCAAGAAAAAAATAAATCAAACTAAATAGTTATTTTTGCGGGCCTTAAACAGGATAAAATCCAGCTACATTGTGACCATGAACATCTCTGTGTGTCATCCCTCTTGTTTCCCTGGGAGTTTCAGAAGCCCAAAGGGAAAAAAATGCCATGGTTTTGGCTCTCAGAAAGAACTGGATTCCCAGTCTGTCCTCTCCTGCACCAGAATTTGCTGTCCCCAAACTGGGGATAATCTCTGCCAAACAAACTCTTTCACAAGGCTGTGAAAAGCACAGCTGCCAGTGCTGCTGCTGAGCAGCTGGCATCCAGCAAGCATGGATTGGGTGCTGCAGCACTTAGCAGATAATCCTGGGACTGAAATATATGTCTTCAGCCAAATGTTTTCTCCTCCTCACTCCTCTCACCTCCCACACTCCCCCAGGATCTCTAGCAGCTCTCCTGGCTTCCCTCACCCACCAGCTCACAGCTCTGGGGTTTTCTGCACTGATTTCCTTTTTCTTCTCTCCAGGGACTGAAGCAGTGCTCAGATCTATCATGTTATTTCTTTCATCTCCCTCACTCACTCTCTTCCCCTCAGACATGGTGGCTGTGATGTCCCATCCTGGCCCACGATCTCCCAGCAGCCTCCAACCCCTCAGAGAGCAGGACAGCAGAGGGAATGCCATCCCTCTGTGCACAGGATGGGCTCAGGATGTTATTGGGTGTCCCTGCTGCCACTGCCTTCTTGGGACCTCCTCTGGCAATTCTGCAGGCCTTCCCCTTTCCATCACATCTCCAGATGGAGATGGATCTTCTCCTGGATGTTCTCCACGTGGTTCCTCCAGCTGGCCTTGGCATGTTTCTGTTTAAACCCCACACCCTGGTGTTTCTCTGACACTGCTGCCCCTCAGCCATGGCCTCTTTGATCTTGCTCTGCACCAGCACCTTCTCTTCCCACACCTCTGGGCCTGCGCTCAGAGCTGTGCCACCCCTCAGCTAAAAGGATCAGACCATGAGTCCCTCTCCAGCCCTCTCCAGAGGTGTCACCTCCTCCCCAGTCCAGTGCTGCACAGCCTCCATGTCCTCATTGCCTGCATCACACAGGAGCAGGCACAGGGCCCTCCACAGCCCAGCACCCTGGGCCATTTTTGTAATGTGTACTTCTCTGTACTACTTCTTTTCATGTGTACTTCCCTGTGAAATCTCACTTTTGGCCAGATACAGCCCCTGCAGTTGCATCTCTATATTGCAGGTACGTCTTTTTAATGTCTTTACCTGCAGCTGTGCTTATGGATGTTTTTATTGATGCAGCCAAAAAACCTTCAGTTCTGCTATAAAAAAAAACAAATTATATTGATATAGCAATGGAAGAGCTGGGCTTCAGCTGCAGAAACAAAACCAAGCTGTGCTTTTACACTCCTAACCACACCAATCTGTGAGTGATTTAAAGCTCTGCTACGATCCACAATATGCAGAACTTTAATTTATACATCCCAAACCCAGATCTAAACAAACTTTTAGAAGTCCATTTCAGGATAGCACTTAGTTCTGTTCCACCCAGATGACATGGTTTATCTAAAATACCATGCCTGCAGCCAGCCTAGGGTGCGTTTGCATGAAGAGACTCTTCCTCCCACTGCATGAATAAGGGTGGAAAGCAGGTAACTGTATTTCTCAAGGACTTTGGTATAAACCTTTGCTGATAACACTGGCTGAAACAGTAGGCCCATATACAGAGGCGTGTGGGGTTTTTTTTAGCTGTGTACTCACTGCAAACTGACAAGAAGAGGTGTGGAGGCACCCACCTTCCACCGATGCCAACACATTTAGGTAACTTGAGCACAGGCTGATTTGCAATTGTTAGGCACTTACATTTTTAGCTGTGCTCAAATTCCTGCAATTCCACCCACTTTCTTCATTAGCATATTAGACGCCCCCATGGCATACTTTAAAATGGTCTAAAGTCAGGCATGTGTGAGGGAAGTGGCTCCACTGGTGCAGCTGAAGGCAGCTGAAGTCTTCCCTTTGGAAGGGGAAAGAGCACTAACAAGGAAGGGACAACCTCGTGGGAAGGATGCCAGCCCCAGAGCCTGCCTTAACTTTGGGGTGATCCTCCATGGTAGGATGAAGAACAGAGTACAATAAGTAATGCTCCAAATATTCTGATTGCAGGCCTAATAATATCCTGTATGGAAACCTGTATATGTATATATAGATATATCTACATTTTCTGTATGCTTTTGATGTATGTGTGTATATATACATATATATGTGTGTGTGTATATATACATATATATGTGTGTGTGTGTTTTTGTGTATAAACCAGATGTTTTTTCTGCTCTGCAAGCAGCTCCTATGCCAAGGGCTAAAGAGCCAGCTGTCTCCTGCTGATCAGCCTTTTGGCCACAGTGACCAGGGGAAGCCAGACAAAGAGGTGCCCTCTGCTAAACCTGTGCAGGGAGTGCTCCCATCCCTCTGGGTCACTGAGGCAGCTGCCCGGGGCCAGCAGGACTGCTTGGACACTGCATTTTTCAATACCATTGTAAGGACACTCATCCTAGTTTGTTGATCTAGCACAGTGTTTGTCTCAGCTTTCCCTGGGGTTTTTCTATCCCAAATTGAGGGGAAAATCTGTAAGGGACTCTTCAAGCTTCTCCCTTCAGTCTCCCTGATGCCAAGGTTGTGTTCCTATGCAGGAAAAGGACCCTTGGATCTCAGTCCCATGCCCTGGGGTACGTTTGGGAGAGCTGGTGATGTATCAAGGAGGCAGAGAGATAAAGCTGCCTCCTGGAAGCAGGGACACAGTGTTCCCAGCAGGGCTGCCCTCTCACGGCATACAAAAACCCCACTACTGATGCCTCTTATCTCCCTCTGCTCTTGCCAGTCCATGGTCTCATCCTGCTGGGCACTGATGCACACTTTTTTCACCAAATCAATAGGGATTCTATCCCTGGCAAAACTCCCAGGCCATTTTTCCCGCACTCCTAAAGATAAGGCAGGCAGAGATGCCCCAGGAAGGAGAGCAGCCCTCTCCCCACTGCCTAAATCCTCACTTCAGAAGTGACTGTGTACAACTCACAGGCTCAAGAACAGGCTTAGGCTAAAGATTTCACAACATGGTCAATATCCCTGCTGTATTTCCTTCTATCTCTTCCCCCCCCTCATTTTCCTGTACTTCCAGTGCCACTCCTTGTAATTGCTGCAGAAATGTAATTGCTGCTCTGTGTAATTGCTGCTGAAACAATCTGAGCTGTCATTGACTTACATTGTTCAGAGATCAGGAGGAACTGGCAGATGAGAGTCACCCCACCTAGCTTCAGGGGCCTCCTGAATATGCATTTACATCTGAGGCAGCTATCAAGGCTCACAGATTAGGCAGTGGAGACCTTGAAATATAGAAGTGTTAAATTTAAGGTATGAGTCACCTGTGCAAAAGCATGTTTCAGCTCAAGGATGAAACAAATCATTCTTTATATACATGGAAGGTATTAAACAAACAATTCTTTATATCCCCAGACAGTATTAATTCCATCCCTAACAAATACATAAAGCACTTAGAATACAAAGGCAGCTTTGGAGCAGACACCTAAAGTTAGGCGAGATCCCAACTGGGTTCTCCTAAAAGAGAAGTCATGTCTTTCATATCAGCTCTGCTAAGTGTACTTTGAATTAAACTGGACTTTCTTTTGCAAACAGGAGGCTGAATCCTGTTGACTACAGAGTGTAAAGCAAGAAAAAAATACCTCTTATGACATCGCAGAGTGGGTGTTTTAATGGCACAAGCTGATGTCATTGCAGTGAATGGCAGCAGAATCTCATACATCTGCATCAGTCCTTTCTCACAAGAGCATAAAACAAACAGGCAAGATGCAATGGGAGAAGCAGCTTTTTCCAGGGGATGGAGGCTGTGCAAGACCAGCAGAGCATCACCATCCAGACCTTCCCACAGGAGATGAACATCTGCCTCCCTTCACAATCTCACCTGGGAATGAAATTGCAGCATGTGTGACTCTGGATTTTCTAACACACAAACTTTAGTCAACACTCCAATAAGCAAGGTCAATATCAGAGATATGCTCCCACCACCACGGATTATCTCCTACTTGCAAACAAGTTTCAGCTAACTGCTCTGCATACAGAGGGCTGATCTCAGCCAGGCATTGCTTCATCCTGCACACAGCACTGCCTCTGGAAATTTCTAAATCATGGGAAAGGTGGAGGTTATGTAGCTGTTGAGAGAGTGCATGCTCTTGGTATATTGGTAAATAATGGCAAATAGCTACTGAAAAGGATGCATGAGCAAATCTATAAATGAGGGAGAATAATAACTAAAGTAATAGTAATTAAATTTCTCCTAATCACATTGTTTCATCTTTCCAGAAAATACTCAAAGCATTAAGAAAGACCCAAGTTACCTCTTTCAGGAATGGGGAGAAGCATTAATTTCATTTTTGTGCCCTGGCCTAAGAATGTGCCACTCCAAGAAGGATTAGCTTTATTCAGATGAACTTCTAGCCGGCCTTTTTTTGTTTATCAGCCTGCTCTGGAACTGAGGTGTGAATCTGCACAATAACTGGTCTCAAGACTATCTTGAGATTGTGAGCAAATCTTTGCAAACAAAGAATGCAAATGAGGAACAGGTTGGTGCTCCCTGGCAAGGCAGGTACAAGGCATTTAAGAATACACTTCCCAAACTTGGACTCCAGGACCTTCTCCAGGGAGGTGGGTGAATGTCCTTACAGCACCCACCCTGACACGTGTTACAGGCTCTGGGCACCCATGGACATGTTCCAGTGGCTTTGCAGCTCTGTGGATGTGCAGGGGTGGGATTCACACTTACCTGGAAACTGGGATGAGATTATCACAGACAGCAATACAGTGCTAGCATGGACCTGGAAGAGAGGTTTCATCCCACTCCCATCAGACATTATTCTCCACTATTGGTACTTAAACTTCTGTATTCCTCTTGCTCTGGCACAGATTGTTCCAAGCACAGAGAGAGATGTGGAGGAGAAGGGAGTCATTGAAGAATTGAAGCACTCTTGTGTCACTGATACAACCTTAGTTTACACAGGCATTGAACCCCTGTAACCAACCTGCCTTCCATCCATCTCACTATCTCTCTCTGGCAGATAGAGCATCTGTATATTTTAGCAGTGTTAGCAGCAAGAGCAGCTCTGATGCACTGGTCCCCTCAGATCACCACACAAAGCCAGACAACACCAAGACTGTGCAGACAAGAAGCCAGAGGAAGATTACACTGTACCTGGAAAACATTTGGCTATTCAGGCTTGCAATCCCTTTGTGTTGCTAGAATAGAGCAAAAGGAAATAATTAAAGGCTAAAAACATACCCTACTATTATTAAATTCCTGAGGATGAGCTATTTTTAAGGTATATAAATATTTGGCAAGAATTCTTAATGATCCCCTTTTAAAGGAATTTCTTTATGTAGGCTAGGGTTAAGAAGATATTTTTGCAGAACCTAATAAAATGCATGTGAGTTTTATGTTGTCTCATACTTCCATTTAAACTGCAATATCTAAATGGCAACAAGTCCCAGAATAACTGAAAAATATTTTTCACATTTTTTCCCAACATTGAAATTAAATATCCATTAAGCATTATCAGCTCTAGTAGTATAAATTATTTACTTACTACATACACAATTACCATTTTAATGAGTTTGACACACTTAAGATTCTATAAACATTATTGTGCAGCACAGGATTTCTTAATACTTTGGGGAGATAAGGGATGAGGAAGAAAACCAATGTGCATTTTCATATTAGAAACTAATCATATAGATATTTAAAGAAAAACCACAAATAAAATAAGGATAAAAATAAAATTCTGTACAGCAGCATTTTAGACTATACAACAGATTTATCAGTTGGGACAAAAAATATAAACAATTTTTTATCTTTCACACAAACAGTTCAGAAAGTTGATTCATGTGCAACATCTTGGATTTGCTAATGTTTTGAGTAATACAGGCAAGATTTGCAGATGTGATCATCCAGCACTTCTCAACAATTTTTTTCTTCTGAAAAAATCAATAGTAACCTGGCTAAAAGTGACAGTTGGTCTACAAAAAGGAAGCATTTTGGTAAGATCAATGAAATCCTTTTCTATATTTTAACTGGCATTGGATTAGGGGTCACAAATCACACAGTTCTCCATCACTCCACAATGCTAAACCTGGGATGCTATTCCAAGAGCACAGAGAGAAGCACCTGGATGTGCCCCTTGTTTTGCCGCAGGGTGAACACCCACACTGCCCACAGAGCAACTCTGTTGTCACACAGCTTTGCTATAATCCCACAAGGCTTGGAAATCTGCCTGTTGGTGCAGAAAATAGGGGCATTTCTAAACACAAGTCACCGAGCTGTGGTTGGGAGCTGGGAGCTGCCTCAGACCTGTTTTGGCTTCTCACACCCCTGGGTAAGGACCTGCTGCTGTCCAACTGAGCCTTTGGAAACTTTTCAAAATCTCTGAGAAATTGTGAAAAGATGCCTCCAGGTGTTTGCATCACACTACCACACACACTCTCCCTTGTCTCCCAGCTACCTTGGGAGAGGCCATTTGAAATGACAGTATTTGCAGTATTTGCTGTCGAATCTGTGTTGGAGAGGGCTGGGGTGAGCAGCAGCGCTGCTGCTGAGAGACAACTACTGGCAAGGATTTCAGTTTTGTGGTGAAAATCAAGCTACTTCCAAAAAATAAAAATATGCTCATAAATCCTGGTTATCTCTGCTACAAATGAGACAAGGAGGCTGCCAGCTGAGCCACATCTTCTAGAAGTTTCCTGTTAAGAACATTAAATTCCAGCATCAGAGCAGAAACAGGAATAATGCAGTTCAGGCTACAGCAAAGGCACAAGGAAAACCAAAACTTGCAGGCAGAAAAGTAGTGCCAGGAGGACACAGCATCTTTGAAGGACATTAAATAGCCCCAGAAGACTTCCAGGGGCATGAGAAAGGACAACACAGCCAGGTACTGGCTCCTTCCCACAGAGCAGTAAAGCTCTTGCAAAGTCTCTTTGCAAAGCCTGTTTTTGTGTCTTTATTCTGCCCTTATTCTTTGTCACACAGCTCCCCAGAGCTAAACTGTGCAGTGATTTATTTTGCATGTGTGTTATATCACAAACTTGTTGACAAGGCACAAAACTGCAGTAATCCTATGGGAGAAGTCTCATTGCAAGTTTGCCTGGATTTATACTTTCTATTCTTCACAAAGCCTTTAAAATTAAACCACAACAAAACTGTGACTTGTGGAACCATTGAGGCTGAAACAACTACAATTGAAAATCAGATACCATGACAACAAGTGAAATATAAGACAACTGCTACATTAAATGAGATTTAGAATGCTGCAGGATTTTCTGAATGTTGGGATTGGAGGTTTTTTACATTGCTGGTTGTTACAGTTTCACGTTTGAGTACTGACACAGGTCAGTAGACCTCGCTCTTCCACCTAAAAGGATGAAAAGACACTTTTTATTTATCATCATGGGATTAGGAAAAGAAGAGAGTAACTCTGCACAAGTGGAGCTTCCACATGGAAAAAACCAGGAAAACTAGAAGAGAAATAAAGCCAGTTAGAATTCAATAATCTTCAGGAACAAGCTGGCAAGATAAAGGATCAAGTTATCAAGCAGGGCTTCAATTAGGCTGATTTCTAGCTGTAAGTAGATTTGATTAGTAGTGTAAATCACAGTATGAGGAGGCAACTTCAAATCATATCATAATGCTGAAGTTACACAGTAATAAAAACTAAACCATATCCCTAGTAAAATATTGGAAACCATCAGCCAGACAAGCTGCCCACATTCCTTTCTAGTAACTCCTGATTCTTTTATATTCTGCCAGATATTGAAAGGAAAGCTGATATCATTAATGACTTCTAGGTCTAAGGAATTAATTTCTATTAGTTCTAGCTAAGAACTCATTCTTGCAAACAATCTGCTATTGATTGGCATGACAGCATAGCATGGGGAGAAACAACTTTTCCCATGTCCCTTTGTTTACAGGATTTCCAGGCATTATGCCAAAGCTTTTCTCTATGTTAAAGAAAACTCCATTCTTCCACATCCTTCATTTCCCTGCACACAACTTGACTCCCATGCTGTCAAATTCCAATTGAATCCTTGATACAATAAAACCCATTTTGTTGCACTCAGAATTTATGAACTTCCATTTGCTTGTTTCTCTGAGCACAGCAGCTCAGGGATAGGAAACAGGAGAGGGTGGAGAAAGAGCTCTTTGATTTACACCTGTCTTTTCTTAGTTTCATCTGATGGCCCCTAATCCTTGCATTAGAAAGGAGTGTGAAAGGCAACTCCCTCTCCATGGCACTCGAGGTTTTTCAGCTGTTCTTGCATCTCCCCTCAGCTGTCCCTTTTTCCAGATGAAGAATTCTCCATTGCTCACTCCCAGTCATTTGAGTGCCCTTGCACAATTTAAGATAAGCAACCTTGTTTCATCTAATACATTGATCAGAGATTAATAAAGACTGTAATGACTGCATTCGAATTTCAAGTTTTTATCTGTCAGATGCTAGGACTTTATTTTCCAAGACACAAAAGCAGTGCAAAGCATAACCCAGGTCAAAAAGTCCTCTCTTGAGTTTGACTGCTGTTATTTTAGTTTTGATTAGAACAAAGCTATGAATTTTCCAGAAGATAAGATTTTCCAAAAAATTATGGCCATTTATCTGTGCAATGAAATATCTGCTTAAGGGCAACTATTAGCAAAATACTATTTTAAAAAAAAAAAAAAAAGAAGAAATAAACTCAAGTATTTTCACATCACTAAACTGTGTTCTGCCTGCTGTGTTTCCCAACTCTCTAGCAGCATTACGCCACCACAATTTTATCATGACTCTAAAAATTAGTTTAAAGCTTGAAAGTTTTAAAAAGTACAGCTATTTTCACAGTTTATACCTTCATTCGGGCCCACACTGAGTTGAGTCTAATGTCAACAAAGATTTTTCCTCAATATCAAAGGCAAAAATCACTTACCAGTAGAAAAATATAAAGTATTAACGTTAATGGATGTTGTATCCCTTAATCTCACTGGAGTATTTGATGTAACACTTAAACATTAAGCTTTAGGAATCTTAATTTGTTATCACAAAATCATACATACCTTCTTTCTCACCTTACACATTTGAGTATAAGAAACTGAGTGACAGCGTCCAGTACTCTCAACTGTTGTCATTACAGTGTGAGAGTTCTATTGTCACTACATGGCAAGGGCTCCACATTGCCAGAGTTTTGTACTTCCTTGATGTTTCTCGTAGGCAGCTCCTCCAGGCACTGACTCTTCCTTGTCCTTGCAGTAGACAACCAGCACCAGCACCAGCACCAGCACCAGCACCAGCACCAGCACCAGCACCAGCACCAGCACCAGCACCAGCACCAGCACCAGCACCAGCACCANGCACCAGCACCAGCACCAGCACCAGCACCAGCACCAGCACCAGCACCAGCACCAGCACCAGCACCAGCACCAGCACCAGCACCAGCACCAGCACCCCCCCATCCAACCAATCCACTCTTTTATAACACTCTTCTGACTGGCTGCAGCTGTGGCCTGTTAACATCAGGGCTGCTCCTAAGCCTTAGTAACTGGCTCAGCTGCAACTCTTTAGGGGATAAGATTACATTTTATACCACCTTCATTTACCCATACTGTATCCCCCTACACTCAACTATTCAGAATATTGGTTATTCTTGGTATGCTTAGGAGCAGAGAAAGAGGAATTAATCAATATTTACCTTGATGCTTTAAACCTGTGTGGATTCTGCAGTCCAGGTGAGATGCAGCATGACTTTTTAATTCTCACAATCATTTCAAACCAGTGACCCCCCAGAAGCCTCTCTATATCCACTCAGCACGATGAGCAGATTTCCAACACTCTCAATTCTTTGTGCACTCTTTTGCATGTCCAGGCTTATAACCTCTCCTGAAGAAATGGTAACACAGGAAAAGGAGCAGGTGGCAAAACCAACACGTTCAGCAGTCTTGAATATCTTTTCCTATTCAGAACTCCACCTAGGGCTAGAAGAGTAACTGAAATGAAAATAGACAAGGAGAGGCACTGAACCCTTATTGAAAGGGCAATAACCAAATTGCCTTTCCCCAAAGTAAAAAGGCACTGAGACCAGCGGTGAGGAGGGACCCAATGATCATCACACCACTGTGTAATTAGATAAATATCTCTGGTATGGAAACATCACCAGTGTTGGCTATTAAAGCAGCTACTATTCCCAGCACAGGAAATTCACAATTTTGGTTTATTTTGGGTTTTTTTTGTTGTTGTTGGATGGGGTAGGGTTTTTTGTTGTTGGTGGTTTTGTTGGTTTGTTGTTGTTTGCTTCTTGCTGTTTGTATAGCAATGTCTTATTGCATACAACCAGGCAATGCATTAGACAACACTGAATTCCACTTGGACCTCTTCCCAAGTGTTATGAGACAGACAGGAAGACATTAAGAAAATATCCTAATCTTTTTTACAGCAGTAACTGATTTTACTTACATTTCAAAAATCTACTAAAACACAGGGAATACCATTAGAAGATTAAACTGAAATTATCTAAAATAAAACGTTTGGATCGGGGAATTTAAAGTAAGTTTGCCTTGAATAAAGACAAGAAGGGTAGGGGTCAAAATAATTATTTTAATTGCACCGTTCAATGGAATCATCCCAGGGAAAATAATACAGAAATGAAAAAAAAGCAAAACCAAATAGCTCAATACTTTCATTGGAATACTATTTTTTCATTCTAGGACTTCCAACTCATCTCAGAAGTGATGGTCTCTAGCCAGCTCTTTGAAGGCAAGTGGATATTGAAAACCACTTACATCTTGCAGAAACATGTCTCTAATACATATCTCCATTGTTGCTGATGCCAAGCAAAATACCAGAAAATTTAATTAAAAGCAGAGATTTAAACAAAAGTAGCTTTGTACTGATTCTCAGTGGCCTTATTCTTCTCACTCTTTACAGTTATCAGAGAGGGAAGGTCTGACGTCCGGTAAACTCCAGTCCTCATCCTCCCTTGGCAAGATCTCAGTTCAGAGATGTAACCTTCAAAGCTGAGGTTCCCTTCAGAATCATCACAGGAACGTGTCCCAGAGTCCTCCAGCTTGACCCCATCCACATCAATTATCCTGTTCACAGGGAGCTCCATTCCAGGGTTCCCTCTCACACCAGGAGGATTAAAGCTTCTGCTGGCCTTGGCTCTGTGAGAGGTCTGCTCATAGGAGTTTCCTGAAGTCCCTTGTGAATCATTTTTCTTTCTGTTTGCACCTAACAGAAGAATTAAAAACAAAAAAAAACAAAAAAAAACACAGAACAAGAGAATTATGTATCTTCTGGTTTTAGCAGTTTTCAATATTGCAGCCTTCTCTGAGGCCCCAAAGGTAGTCAGCTGGGATATTCATCCACCAAAGAGACTTACTGATGGAAATTTAGCTAAACACTGGATCTCAAAGATAAATGTGAAATACTAATATGTATCTGTCTTAATGTAGCATTTTTCAGAGTTCTTGAAAATACTCCATTAAAAATAACTAATTAGTATAATTTTGTACACCTCTAGAACAAAAAAATTCTTACAGCAGCAAACCCAAGGGTGAAGGAGAAGAAGGACCTTCCACTGGGGCAGAATGGGAGATGTTCCTTCAGTTGAACTGGTCTTCAAGACCCTGCTGAGATAGTATCTTTACTTGGCTAGGGCTTAATTCTCTAGCAGACTAGTAACAGATTATTTGAAGTTGCAGGTCACTGTCCTGAACTGCAACAGAGCAGTTATGAGCCACAGGACAAGAATAAAAGAAACAACTTCACAGAATCACAGGTTGAAGGAGTCCAATGGTCCCACCTGCCTGCTAAAGCAGGATCATCCCAGAGCACATGGCCCAGGATTCTGTCCAGATGGTTCTGGAATATCTCCAGTGAGGGAGACCCCACACCCTCTCTGTGCAATCTGTTCCAGTGCTCAGAACAGTGAAGATGTTCTTCCTTATCCAGGTGGAACTTCCTGTGCATCAATTTCTGCCCATTTCCTTGTGTTCTGTGGCTCAGCACCATTGAGCAGAGCCTGACTCCATCCTCTGTCACCCTCCCTGCAGATATTTGTAAACATTGCTGAGGTCTCCTCTCAGTTGTTTCTTCTCAAAGCTGACCAGGCTCAGCTGCCCAATTCTTTGCTCCTAAAAGAGATCCTCCAGACCCTTGACCAACTTAGTGGTACTTTGCTGGACCTGCTCTAGGAGTTCCTTGTCCTGAGGACCCCAGAACTGGACACAGCACTCCAGATGTGTCCCACCAGGGCTGAGCAGAGGGGCAGGATCTCCTCCCCTGACCTGCTGGCACCATAGCTCCTCCTAACCCACCCCAGGACTCCATTGGCCCTGTCAGGCACAAGGACACGCTGCTGGCCCATGGACACCTTGTGTCCACCAGGCCCCCAGGCCCTTCTCTGCAGAGCTGCCCCCCAGCAGGTCAGCCCCGGCCTGGGCTGCTCCGTGGGCTTGTTCCTGCCCAGGAGCAGCACCCTGCATTTGCCCTGGCTGAACTTCAGAAAGTTCCTCTCTGCCCACCTCCCCAACCTATTGAGGTCCTTCCGAAGGGCTGCACAACCCTCTGAGGTCTGAGGGCTTTAAACACTCAAGGAACACCTGAGTTACATCTAAAATCACAGTTGCCAAGATTCAGGCCTATTCACACAAAGTCATCACTATCCCAAGACAGCTGTAGTTCAAACCCTCGAGCTCCCACAAGCCAGTTTTGTGTTAGGTGTGACCCTGCAAAGTACAAGGAGCTTCTGAAAGCAAATGTACAGAAGCTGGTTTGCCTGTGTCAACAGCAGCAAGAAAGGAAGGATGAAGGAGCTGATTTCAGGATTCACACCACAGTTAGTAACATGGTTTCTGGAACTGAGGCTCCCCCCATAATGATATAAAGAGGGACAACATTTTCAGATACAGAGAACTGCTTTCATTAGATCCAACTGAGAGCCAAGAAAAAAAAAAAAAAAGAGAAACTTTCAAGGCACAAAAGAAGGCCTAAGTAGGGACTTCAATTTCATATTTAATTCCCTTTTTCCATATATCTTCTTATCCATCTTTTAAAATATACCATCTTATCTGACATTCTTTACCCAAAGTATTCTCAAATTTTGTGCCACAGTACATGCAAGTACCTGACCAGCATGTTTAGCCACACAAATCCCATGAGACTGGTGTGGTTAAATCCCATAAATATTTTATAAACCCACAAATATTTTATTTGTGTTTATTCCATGAAGTGATTGGTACAGTTTTATGCAAGGAAAAGAAATTTCCATGTATAATCAGCGTAATCAAGAACTTTTTGATATGGAGAATGGAGGAAATGCAAATGAAAAAGACCAAAAAAAGCACTTTCACACACTTTCAATCAAATCACTCCAGGGTCTTCTTGAGGCTTAAAGCTTTCTATTTAAGAAAAATAAGTTAAAATCCTCAGTAGTGCAATGCTTAGTGCTTTAGCTGCTGTGAAGCCCACATGAGTAATGTGAGTATTTTGCATCAGTAATGCTTGCTGTGTTTTCAGAGGAATTAGATCAAACTCCAAACAAATCAGCTGAGCAGAGAGGCAGAAAGCTCCCAGCCCTGCTAGCCCAGCATGACTTCAGCCTACTAAATTGCAGCTAACATTTAATGGGACTGTATTAGACTTTGTGTTTAAATCTCCCTACTGAAACTAAACGTTGCCTTAATTTTAACTGCTGCTTGCCTGGCTGGGCTGCAAAATGCTATTATTCTGTTCTGCAACGTTTATCTTAACATGAGTGTACTGAATTGTTCTCTTGATCTCTTTAATCTACTATTCTACACCCTTTGAGGAAGACCTGTGACTCTCCTTTCAAGTTGCTTTAGAAGCGCTACAAATTGCTGAAATGCCTACTAATGACAAATTCCCACAAATACATGGCATTGACAGAGCATGAGTCACCCAGCTGTCCTAGCACTCAGAACACATCCTCCTATGAAATGTCATGCAAAGGAACATCTTTGATTGAGATGGAAGGTCTCATATCTGTTGACTTGGACTAGGTTGAAACACTTTCCACAGCCAAAAGACACAGCCTGCATTAACAGGGCACAAGAGATGAAAGAGCTGGAAACTCTTGTTGAAGAACACTATGGAAGGTGCAAGTATTGCTGAATTTATTTGGGTGCTAAGCCCTTCTACAGTTAAAAATAAGAAATGCCATTAAGTCTTGGAATTATGGTGTCACTGAGTCAGCACACAAAGCAACTGGGTGTGCAAGCTGCCCAATAGGAACACAGCAGAAATAAGGTC